ATGAGAGACCTTAGGACAGGTCCATGAGAGACCTTAGGACAGGTCCAGGAAAGACCTTAGGACAGGTCCAGGAGGACATGGCTGCTTGGTTTTCTCCAATGGAGGAGAACTTTCTCACAAGTGAAGCTGGAGACAGGTTCAGCTTGGTCTGGTTTGGACCATCTTAGCTAGAACATTCATCAACAAAAGTTCATCTGAATTATTTTACAAAAAGAAGTTGTTTAAGTATCAAAGTTCTGTTAGATAGAACAAAGTTCAGTCAACTAAAAAATAAATCCCCTGAAGTTAAGCTGAGGAACCTTCAGAGGCTGCCTTCATCTGAGGTTCTGATCAGGAAGGATACGTGAAGTCAGCTGTGGACACAAGTCTGTCCCAAAGACGATTGGTTTCCCATCAAACACACACCTCAGAGTTCAAAGGTTAAATGCTAACCTCACAAGCTAAAAGGAGAGAAGAGGTGAAACACTGCTGATCAGAACAAACACAGATTTAAATGATTTGTCGTACTCAAATCAGAAACACCGGACTGAACAAACGCTGATTTATTCAGAGTTTCCCTGACAGTCAGGACCACTCATCAGATACAGGATCTGGTTTTATGGTCCAGCCTCCTCGTTACCATGGAGACAAGATGGTGCCTGTTGTCCATCTGAGGAAAAATAAAGTGCTGATGCGAGACCGAAACAAATATACTTCCTGTGATGGTTGGAAAATGAATCCATGTTTGATGAAATCAATGCACACGCTCTGTGTTCCCTCGCGACTCACGTCACCATCAGAAAAATAATAATTTTCTTCATCTGCAAACTTCAAAGATTAAAATCAACCATAAATCATTTATACAGTGACCTAGAAGTTTGTTTTTCATCCAGACAATTGTTTAAAAGTCTGTCTTTTTCTCAATCCATTCAGCTTGAGGACAGAATGAAAACAAATTTATATGATTTTTATACATTTATTGAAGATAAAACCTTATTTACATAAAACACCTATAAAAAGTAATCACAGGCTTTTGTGGCTGTCATAAACCAATGATGGTAAAAATAAATTAACTTTCTTTACAAATAAATTAAAATAAACCTCCAATCTTAGTGATAAAAACAAATCAAATAAGTGATTACATAACAATCTCATAACATAATAAGAGATTACATAATGTAATGCCACTTTGATTGGTGATATGTGCTGCTGATTTTCCATGCTGCTGATCTCTATTCATTCGTACTAATCTGCTCACACAGACTCATGTTCGTGCTGCTGTTGTTCGGCGTATTGTTTTGCACTATTGGTGTTTAGTGTATTTCTTAGTTTAAATCTTAGATCCTTTCTTTTACAAGTTATATTTTTGCTGTTGTTGGATGTAACTGGGACCCTGTGTACACAATTTTGTTCCACCTCATGTACCACATGTGGTGCAAATGACAATAAAGAACCTTGAACCTTTAAATACTGACCCTCTTTAAAGTGACCGTCCTGAAAACAGATTAGATTATTGAGTTTATACCAATTCTATTAACTGTCAAAATACTATTAGATTAAAGAAACAAGTCGGCATGGAGTCAAAAGGATTTTTAAGAACCTAAACAGCCCCAGGAGTTCTGTTAAAATGGGAGAAATATGGAACATGTGTAAATCTACCAAGAGCAGGCCGTCCTCACAAACTGAGACTGTGAAGGAGAAAAATGAGGGCGATCACCAGGACACCTGAGACCACTCTGAAGGTGGTACAGGCTTCAGCAGGTGAGATGGGAGAGACTGAGCATACAACAACTGTAGCCTCAGTTCTTCACCAGTCTGAGCTTTAATACAGAGAAGCTGTTGAAGAAAGCTCAGATTCATCTGTTTGTTTAGATTGTTTAGAAACTCTAGTCTCTGTTTCTGCTGTTTTGTTTCTTCATGCTGGATCGTTGGACTTTTGAACGATAGTTTCGTGGCGTAGCTGATTAAATTTGTTTATACAAAATAAACAGTTTGAAGAAGATCCTCAAAGCGTGCTGGTCCTTCCTTTAATCCAGGGGTTGTAGCTGAAACATCTACGTGCAGTAATCTCTGAGTGTTGGATTAAAGCTGAAGCTCTTTCATCTTCGACCTTCTCTCATCCTGATGCCTTCTTGTCTCTGTGCTCTACTCATCAGGTCTGTGCTCTCTGGGTACCGTCTGCTGTTTCCGGGCCGGTGTTGATCTGCTCCACTACAGTTACCCCCCACCAGGAGGGGTGGAGGGCTCCATGGGCTGGTCTCTCTACCTCGCCCTCATCTCTTTCCCTCTGCAGATGATGGCAGCCGCCCTGTTTCTGTGGGCAGCCAAAAGTCACCGCAAAAACTACACTCCCATGACGGCTTACAGGGTGGCCTAAATGAGAGCACTTACGTTCTTTTAGTTGGATCCAAACGTCCCTCAGGGTGTTTTGTGGTTCAGGGAGGTTGTCAGTCAAGTGCAGTATGCAGCTTGTAACGTTTCACTTCCTCTGTAACAGTCTTTTCTTAGAAGAACACGGTTACAGAGCAACACAAACCACATGAGTAACGAGGAAGTCTGCAGCTGATCATCACAGATTGAGTTTTTTAAGTGTCTTTTCTCATCTTTGCCTTTTGTGCTTGTTTTTAGTAGATGTCGCCTGCACCTTCTGATGGTCACTTAGTTTCTGAACTCTTGTGGTTTTTGCCTTCCACCTTTTGTTTGGTTGCCAATTCATCTGAAGCTGCTCACCGCATCGCCCTTAATAAAATCCATAAACCCACATTGTCTTGAACTTCAGATCTGCAGGGATCCGAGTGTAGGTCTCCATTTCTGTTGGACGAACTTTTCTGCCGCACCTGTTATTTGAATGTTGTCACGTTTGCATGATTTTAAATATCAAGCCTTTGCACGTCTTTCAAGCTGACCTTTCCATCCTCTGTGTTAATTATGGATTTTAGTCTGTGGTAGAAAACCACTAAATGTCAGAAAATGTCGCTCACTAAAAATAAAGCCACTCACTCTTGATGGAGATAATCTGCTTTTACACAATTACAATTAGTCTGTTGAACTGCTGATGCTCTTCTGCCTCTTCACATGTCGAAACTTGTGTTTCCCAAATACTTTAAGTTAGGTGTGTGGTTTTGTCTTTAGCCCTGACTTGTTTTTATTAATGAGCCTTTTACAGACACAAAACGTCCTCGCCTCGATTCAACTAAAGCACTGAGCAGATAAATGAACGTTCAGTCCTGAACCGACAATCAAAGTCTGGCAAACCGTTTTTACACATCACTGAAAGAACATGTTGATTTGTTTTGAGTTACAAAGTTGTGGTCAGCACAAGGACATAAAGGCTGTAAATGTTGAAGCACACCAATTATTAATAAAGTTATCGTTCACAGAATTTCTTTGATGTTTCTTTTGTTTGATTAAAACATCGAAGGTGTTTTTGTCCCAAGGGTTTAAACTAAAGCTGATGAGAAGGGACGAGTTGAGATGAGGCAGCTCTCGAACACTCTGTTGAGGATGACTCTCTGCTACCACACCAAACTCTTCAGCCGTGTGTGTGTGTTGACGGATGTTGAGTAGCTGTGTTTGCAGTTTGACCTGAGCTCACCGAGACTTAATGATTCGTGGATGAAAATCCAATGAATACTTTGAAAGTTTCAAGAAAACGCATTCAGCCAATTATTAGATATTTTGCTAACACTTGGAAACACACAGGCTCAGGCTAAAACATGGCCTCCTGCCTCAGCAGGTATTTTCTCTCTTGTAGAAATGTTCTCACCTGTAAACTGGAGGTTTATGAATTTTTTGTGTGTGTGACTTAATCAAATGAAACTTTATTTTCCTGAGTTGGTTAAAATGAAGTAAAAAAAAAAAACAAGCTGGTAAAATTATATTTAAAATAATCATGTTTCCATTTAATTGTAAAAAGTAATCAGTCTTTCAGAACTTTTTTTTGGCTGATTGATCTTAAAGTGATTCAGTGAAGTATAAAAGTTGAGAATTAGGCGGACAGAGGTGATCGGACACTTTGATCTTCGGCTGTTATCCAGCTCGTTGAAGGTGATGGAGCTCAGGCTGCACTTTGTTTCAGCTCCTACTTTGCTCCAGTTGCTTTCAGCTCCTCAGACCAATGGAGGGCAAAGTGAAAGTTGTCCTCCGAGCTAAATGGAAAGCAATCTTCTTCTCGTAGTAGGCACATTCGTTCACAAATAAAGGGTAGAACTCCTCTCCATCCTCGTGCTTCACTGTTTCCCCAGAAAACGACAAGAACGCCGGATCCCCCGACCGCAGGGGCTGAAAGTCATTATCCTGGAGACAAAACGCTTATTTAAGATTTACTCTTTGTCCACAAACCAAACTATGAAAGCATCTTTGAAGGAATAGTTCAGACCTTTAGATGTGGGATTCTGTATAAAGGCTTTAAACAAACGTCTTTTATTTCCCGTCATTTCCACAGAACCCACTTCATAAGATCTGAACTCTCACTTTAAGCTTTGACATCTGCCTCCATCCATCGTGTACCTGCAGCTCGGGGTGTATGACAGCAGTTATTTCACCGGCTGCATCTCTTGGATAGTCAACACTTTTTACGTAAGTGAATGCTTCCACTTCGCCTCCTTCAAAAGTGTGTCCTGTTGGTCCAAAAGAGAAGGGAGGGTCAAAAGAATAAAACTTATTGTGTCCATGTCTAATGACACTAACATTAAAGAAGATCCTGCACAATGAAAACAAATGTGTTCCTGAAATGAGCTCAGCAGCCACTAATAATTTACCAACAATCAGAGGTTTGATTCTTACCAGAATTGAACTCCTGCAGCCACGTTAACGTGAGGTCCACTGCTGTTTTCATCATGTTAAAGATGTCAGCTCGGAGCACGCCGTTGGGCTGAGGCCCCACTTCTATAGCTGCAAAGAGGGAACATTCTGCACACATTCACACTACAAGGAAAGCTTCATCCTGAAAGCAGCACTTCAAGTTACCAAAGCCATGTTTCCCCACCGACTCCAGGGAATAAGCATCAGCGCTCGCTACGTCCAGCTGGAGCACTCTCACAGGCACTTGAGTCATCTTACTCTGAAAAACAAGTTGGGTTTCATCTTTTACCCTTCCAAGATTTATTTTGTCCAGTCCAGATAAAGTCCAGCGCAGACAAAGGAGTCAGAGATGAGGAGAACCTGAAGATTTAAAGTGGGTCACACACAGACTCAAACTCTCCGTATACTGAGTTAGGATGAAGCTGAAGACTGGGGGTGTTTCAGACACACATCCATGTGGGATGCCTCTTAATATTTCTGTTTCCATTTCTGGTGATGGAACATATCCAGTACTGTTCTTTACAAGACAAAAGTGGATCTAAAGCATGCAGTCAGAACTTCTGTCTTTAAGATGACGGACCGGTTTGCAGCGAAGAACCTCAAAACTCGACTTTCTGACCTCAAAGAGCCTCTGCTTTGAAAATTATCACCATAAATTCAGTCAAGATTCTGTAGAAAACAGGAGATTATATGATGAAAATGTATGTCTGCACTGACAGATCTATAGAAATATCTTTATTGCTTTCATTTATTAGACAGTCAGATTAAAAAAATGGATTTTTTTTAACAGAACTCTAGAAGAGATTTATCAAACATGCTACAGGTGAATTAGCTTAACTTGATAAGTGTGTTTGTGAGGAGCTCATATTTTCATGGCATTTTAAATTATCATCAGTTTGAAGACATTTTGAAGTGTTTATTAAAAAGTTAATCATGTCACAAACTTAAATCTAAGATTATTTGAGTGTTTTAGCCCAATTGTTGCTGACATCTAAAAAGAGTGAACATGCAGCTGAAGGTGCTTTTTATTCCATGATTTGTTGCACCGGTTCTTGTTGTGCAGTGTTGTGTTGTAGTCTTTGACACCACGATCATATTGAAGACGGCCTCTGACAGGTTGTGCGATGAGCGTCTTACCTGTATGTATTTGTAAATGTGCAGGTTGATCCAGTCCAAGGAGTAAAAGATGAGAGTCAGGCCCATGTTGGCCGTGGTGTTGTGCAGGTCTATGAGCAGATCTACGGCCTCCTCGCTTCCTTTGGGTCCCAGCTGAACGTTCAGCTCCTGGGCTCGTCTCACCTCGTAGGGAGTCCCGTCTGTTGTGGGAGAGCTGAGAGACGGTTGGACATCATTAGGAACATGGCAGAGCCCTCAAATGGAAAACCCCAGTCCTAAATAGGTCAAGATGTGGTGTAAAATGTCAATAAAAGCAGAATGCAAAGATGTCAACATCTATTCAACCATATTTTATTTCCATTAGATCAAAGTTAACATTTGTTAAACTAAAAAAATGTACTTTTTTTAAGGAAAAAAATAGTTAATTTTGAATTTTATGACAGCACCAAATCTCAAACAAAGACTGGACAGAGTCCTGTTTCCTCTGTGAAGCTTCTCTTCTTTATTGATCATCAATCTGTAAATATTAAATACCAGAGGAGACCAGCTGCTGGACCTGAGGAAACCAGCTGCTGGACCAGAGGAGACCAGCTTCTGGATCTGAGGAAACCAGCTGTTGGACTAGAGGAGACCAGCTGCTGGACCTGAGGAGACCAGGGAGGCCTTGAAGGACCAGAGAAGACCAGCTGCTGGACCTGAGGAGACCAGCTGCTGGACCTGAGGAGACCAGCTGTTGAACCCGAGGAGACCAGCTGCTGGACCTGAGGAGACCAGCTGCTGGACCGGAAGAGACCAGCTGCTGAACCTGAGGAGGCCAGGGATGTCTTGAAGGACCAGAGAAGACTAGCTGCTGGACCTGAGGAGACCAGCTGCTGGAACTGAGGAGACCAGCTGCAGGACCTGAGGAGACCAGCTGCTGGACCTGAGGA